TTAGGCGCCACCAACGGGAACCTCCAGAAGGCTTTCCAAAGCAGATGCCACATTCGCAAGCCAGCGGCTACCAGGACCAAGGGCTTCAGAGATCGCGCGAGGCCGAATTCCTCGACAGCCAGGTTACACCAAGGCCTCGAGGTGCAGCGCATCATCCAAACGCGCATGAGGCTTGAAGGGGGAACTAAGTTGGCAGACGCCGAGAGGTATGGGCGCAGCACGCGCGAGCAGATCGCGTAGTCAATCATAGCCTCACCAGCCGAGTAGGTGAATTCACCATGTTCAGTAGCAGAAGTAATTGGTGATTGCAGACAGGGGGGCTCTCGATACAGGGCGAATCCTGCAGATCCCCTGACCGATCGAAACCACCCATCATAAACCAATGAACCGAAGCCCACCTGTAGATCCAGAAAGCCCACGAAGCCGAGTCGAGTTACCCCCAACCATGCATGAACGGGACAGAGGTCTAGCACCCCCACCACAATGCCAGAAACCCCCAGAGCGCCCCCCCCCAAAAGGAAAAACACGACATTCCCTATATTCAAATTGCACATGCTTACTAGCCTTGCTCAAGAACTGGCGAACGCGCCGATTAGGCTGAGCGGCGACAGCCCCCCCACCCCACCCCACCGTGCATGCCGCATCCTGGAAGAAGGGGGATCACTTCATGCGGCGACGTGTCTTCTGAGCGCGACATGCTCCAGGACCCTGGAGGTGCTGCCCAGCAAGGAATATACAATCAACATCTGAAACCTTGGCTGCGAGGAGATCCTGGAACAGCGTATGCCAACGGGTAACGTTAGCAAGCTCAAGGTGAACTTGCCGAGCCGCCCGCGGAGGCGACAGGCGGCCGTTTAATGGAGGAGGGCTGGGCAGGCTGCGACGCAACAGTCGCGGGCTGCGCAGCGCGATTGCCAGGGTTGGCCGCAACTCCTCCGCCGCCGACTGCATCAGGGTGGGCGGCCTAGAGCATCTGCTGCGCGGCGGCGGATCAGACGGCGCGGTGCATCCCACAGGTAGCAATGATAGGTGTGCGATCGCGCTTGTTCGTCTTGGCCGCGACCTGCGTCAAGAGTAATTGGTGGTACCCATCAGCAGCGGCAGTATCGAGACCAGACTTGGGCACGACGTCCGAGGTCCCCGAGTTGGTCAAGGTATGCTGCCTCCATGTCGTTGTCGCCGACATCGCTGCCAATGTCCGAGACGCTATCCACGCGCCCACCTTGGCCCCGCACCCGTTGCCAGACGCATCTGATAGAGGCCACACTGGACCCATTGAGAGAACGCGATGCTGTTGTAGATGGCAAGCCAGTTGAGGACCCCATCGCCGCACAACACCAAGCGAGTTACCGAGGACGAAGCCAGAAGCAGGCAGCATCGGAGACAAGGAGAGGGCGAGACTCGTCCCCCCACCCCCCAGGGATGGGATCCTTACCTAACTTCGAGAGACTTCAGACACGTGAGTCTTCATTGGAAGCAACACCCATGCATTCGCCCCAGAGACGGGGCCGAGAAACCGACGGCTTGGCCCGCGCCCCGCGACGGCGGCAGAATGCATGGGGTGTCTCCAGCGAGGAGGATCGTGCGTCCCCGGGCACAGTGGGGCCCACAAGGCCCTGGGCGGAGAGGGGGCCACGGGGGGCGGCATCCAGAGCAACCCAGGATGCCCACACCGCGAGCCCCCCGAGGCCGTAGCCCTCTTGGGGGGAGGCCCTTCACGGGGGCGGCCAGGCTCAGGAGGGGGCCCCGGCTTGTCGTCGCCGCCCCCCTCACAAGCCCCCGCGCTCTTGGCACGAAACGAGGTGGGCGGGGGGGGGGGGGGGGGGGGGGGGGGGCGCGGGTTCCTCGGAACCCTGGGCGCGCGCGGCCTGGGCGAGCCTTCGCGCGTCGGCGAGTTCGAAATCCGGCTGCTCCCTATCTCCTGCAGACCCTGCAGACCTCACCCTCTCAAGCGCCAGGGGCCGCTCAAGGCCATCGATGGTCGATGGCGGCGGCTCCTCTCCAAACACGGGGCCCGCCTGAAGGCCCGCGCTGGCCTCAGAGGGTCCCGCGGGGCGGCCGCGAGGCGGGGCCGAGGGGCCAAGGGGGCCGCGAGGAAGTCTCGGGCGCCGCCCCAGCAATCAAGGGAACAAAAAACCACCCGGACCCGATAGATGGCGTTCATTGAAAGGCCCGTCAGAGTGGTTAGATTGTGGAGGTGGATCTCTTGCCCTCTCATCGAGGCCCCAGAGGGCCGCCGCCTCGGCCACCCTGCGGGCTGGGAGCTCGAGGGCCCTCGCTCCTGCAGACGAGCGGGCGAAAGCGGGGCGCTTGTCGCAAGACCAGGAAGTTCCAGGCGCCGCCCTGTCAAGGCCCCAGAGGGTCGCCGCCTCGGCCACCCTACTCGTGCGCAGTTCGAGGGCCCTCGCACCCCCTCGCCTCTTCCTCCGCCTCCGCCGCCTCCCCCTCCTCCCCCTCCTCCTCCTCCTCCTCCTCCTCCTCGTCCTCCTCCTCCTCCTCCTCCTCCTCCGCCTCCTCATCCAGAAGAGCGGGCGAAAGCGGGGCACTTGTCGCAAGACCATTCGTGACTTTGCTCGGCGAGGGTGCTCCGTCGACGACGGCGGCGGCGGGGGGGGGGGCGCGCTTGAGCCAGCGGCGGCATGGGGCGGCGGCGCGATCCTCGGCCCAGCGGCGCCGCACAGCCTTGGGCCGCGTCCGCGGGAGCTCCGCGCGGCCAGGTGGGGCGGAGCCTTCGAACGTGAGCTTCCCATGCGTTGGCGATCTGTGATGCAACCTGTCGCGGCCTCGCCGATGCAGCCGAGTGCCGATGCACCGACGCCGCTAAGAGGTTACGTAGTCGTCGTCCTCGTTTTGCAGCGTCGCACGTGAGTTTTGAGGCGTTGGCGATCCGCGATGCAACCCGTCGCACCCTCGCCAGTGCAGCAGAGTGGTGATGCAGCGACGCCACCGGGAGGTCATGCAGTCGTCGCCCTCGCCTTACCGCCCGATCTGCCACATCGTTGCCACGCCTCTCACACGTGTCACGCGGTCAGGCCGGACGGAGCCGTCGAACGTGAGTTTTGAGACGTTGGCGATCCGCGGATTGGTGATGCAGCGACGCCACTGCGAGGTCACGTAGTCGTCGCCCTCGACTTACAGCCCGTTCTGCCAGGTCGTTGCCACGGCTCTCACACGGGTCACGCGGTCAAGCGGAATTGAGCCGTCGAACGTGAGTTTGGAGGCGTTGGCGATCCGCGATGCAAACCGTCGCACCCTCGCCAGTGTGGCAGAGTGGTGATGCAGCGACGCCACCGGGAGGTCATGCAGTCGTCGCCCTCGCCTTACCGCCCGGTCTGCCAGATCGTTGCCACGCCTCTCACACGTGTCACGCGGTCAGGCCTGACGGAGCCGTCGCACGTGAGTTTTGAGACGTTGGCGATCCGCGATGCAACCTGTCGCACCCTCGACAAAACAGCGGATTGGTGATGCAGCGACGCCACTGGGAGGTCACGTAGTCTTCGCCCTCGCCTTACAGCCCGATCTGCCAGGTCGTTGCCACGGCTCTCACACGGGTCACGCGGTCAAGCGGAATTGAGCCGTCGAACGTGAGTTTGGAGGCATTGGCGATCCGCGATGCAACCTGTCGCACCCTCGCCAATGCAGCGGAGTGTTGATGCACCGACGCCACCGGGAGGTCACGTAGTCGTCGCCCTCGCCTTACAGCCCGATCTGCCAGGTCGTTGCCACGGCTCTCGCTAGTGTCTGCCTTCCGATGGCCCTTGACGTAAGTGAAGTGAAGCGGCAGCAATTCACTATCAGTAGCAGGTACAGTCGGGCCGCTGAAGAAGGACCCTTTTTCGTTGGGGAGAGGCTCAGTGTTCCGTAATTGTTTTACAGCTGTTCGTCGATGTTCCTTAGGTTATTCTATGGCAAAGCGGAGTCTTACCCATGGGAAAAAGGGGCCTTGTGCCTTACGTAGGGCTCCTTCTGGCAGCGTTTTGAGTTTGGGAGTGCCACAGCCGCTTCCAAATGTCAGCGTTCTCTCTCCGAGGGCCCGTGCACCAGCCCCTGCCGCCAACCGTGTGCACCTGCAGTACAGCCGGGCCGAGGTGTACAGTCGAGGTCGGTTCGGGAAGGGTGCCCTGGTGCTCCTCGCGAGTGTTGGATGTTCTTGTGCATCTTGGGGGGGGTACCCCTGGATGTTCCGTTTGCGTTCGCCGACGGAGGTGCCATGGTTTTGAGTGTTGTTCTTCTGGCCCAGGTCCGACTCTACGGCGTGCAATTCCGCGCTGCCCGAGGTCTGTCGAGGGCCTGGGAGCGGCCCGAAACCAGCACAGTGGTAACGCCGACCCCCTACAACCGCAAAGCTCCAGCCAGCCCGCGCGGCGGCATCCCAGCGCAGCAGCTTCTTACACGAGCCATCGGTGAAGACAGTGTCAGTCACGATGAGGTGCTCCACACGTGCGCCGCGATCGTAGTGGCATGCCCCACGATCATCTCGCGGCACAAACGCAAGCAAGAAGGAGTTCGGATACGAGCCCTCGGTAGAGGAGGTCACCGGCACCCCAGGTGCTGCATAGACCTCGCAAGTGCTCTAGCAGGCCCGGCCACAAGTTTCCAGCTGGATGGAGCAGGCGCCGAGGAAACCTTTAGGTACTGCAACTGGCAGGCCTTTTGTTCCATAGTGCCATGTGGATCTTCACCAGCAGGTGGTATGACAGCTCAGCTGTGAATCGGACCCACCACTGCAACACAGGCGAGTTGCTGATAGGAGGAGGAGGAGAAGGAGGAGGAGGAGAAGGAGGAGGAGGAGGAGGAGGATGAGGAGGAGGATGGAGGAGGAGGGGCAGGAGGAGGTAGGAGGGGGAGGAGGAAGCGGAGGGACGAGGGAGGAGGAAGGGGAGGCGGATACTGTTCCCCCACCCCCCTTGCTTCTCGCCTTGCTTCTCCCTCCTCCTCTCCATCCTCCTCCTCCCCCTCCTTCCTACTTCCCTCCCTCCACCCCCAGCCCCTGCCGCAAGGCTGGAACCGGAGCGACGGCGCTCGCCCTCGCCAGAGGAGACGCTTTGTAGCGGGTCGGGAAGGAGGAGGAGGACTATATAGAGGGGCACTTGGAGGAGAAATCACACCATGAGGGACCAGGGAGACGAAGAGGAGGAGGAGGAGGAGGAGGAGGAGGAGGAGGAGGAGGAGGAGGAGGAGGAGGGAGGAGGAGGAGGAGGAGGGAGGAGGATGAGGAGGGGAAGGAGGAAGAGGAGGAGGAGGAGGAGAATAATAAAAAGTAGGATGAATGCACAGAAAGAGAGCTCAATCAGCAGGAAGAGCCGACGGGAATGCGTGCGTGCTTTTGTTAGTAGATTGTGCTGCCCACTTTGAGCCACGACCGATGGGTGAAAGGGTGGTACGGATGTCCGTCCGTGCACATTTTTCTGGGAAGAGCAGGTGGCGCGACGATTATACAAATTTGTGTCTCCAGATATGTGGCAAGCTGAAGGCTTCGGGGGCTTCATGAAGGGCATCCGGCCAGAGATCTTGAAAGCATTTCCAACGGTGGCCGTGCTGAGATCTTTTTTTATCGGTGCTGATTCTTTCAAGTCTGGACACAGAGAGGGACAAGTCAGGCGGGTTTGGGATGCAGATAGTTGTTTCAGAGCAGTTTGGGCCGCTCTCAGAGCGTTCCAGAGCGCTCTGAAACGGCCATGGAGCCCGATGCATCCTCCAGACCCAGCAGCTTCCAGAGATTCCAGCATTATCTCGGTCCAAAGTTGTCTTCATCCTGTCCTCGTCTCATTGAGTTGTCTAGCGTGCCCCTCCACTGTCAGTTCAGCCAAGGGTGGCGGCCGGCACACGGCCGAGCCACAGGTCGCCAGGAGGGGGCCTCGAGAGCTTGGGGCACACTTCCAGCGCGAAGATGTGCCAAATTCGGTTAGAGTTTTTTGTTCACCCCAACAATATGACGCACCAAGCCACCAGAAGGCCCCAGATCCCCCAAAGCATGGAGTTGTGCGGTGTACGGGTTGCATCCGTTTTTTTGTATTTTCCAGAGCCCCCCCCCGCTGGAAATTGGCAGGCCGAACTTCGTTTTCTGGTTGGTCGGAGGCGGTTTGGCAGATAGTTAGAAAATAACACCGACAACCCAAAACGATCGGAGCTCTGCTTGTTTCCTCCCCTCCTCGCTCGCTCCAGCAATTGTCGAGTGAGCACCACGCAGGGTATGGGTTAGACGCTGCCGTCTGCGAGTCCACACACACAAACACACACACACACCAATATCGTCATGCTCCTCCGCATCATCCGGAGACATTTCAGATAAGAAGGGCTCTGTTTGCAGGGGTCAGAAACCCAACGGAATTGAATGCCTGTCGTACGATTGAACACTCAGGCGTACCAGCGTCTGCCTGATACACCCCTGCCTTGGCTAATGCTGTGTTGCAGCGGCGAGAAGACCGCCCCAGATTTGAGAGGCGCGCGGTGACCTAGAGGGACCACGTCATAGCTGGCGGCTGCACATCGCAAGGACGCTTTCTCGTCACGACCCTGATGATTACAATTCACGCGGCGGGAGGACAAAGGGAATGATGATGCTGGGAGATCAGACAGGAGGGAAGAGGGAGGACCGCCCGCCTTGCCCCACCTCCCACCCCTCCCTCCCTCTCCTCCGATACTTCCCCCCCTCTTCTCCTGTCTGCTCCTCCATCCTTCTCATCGGCACATCTTGATCCTCGCGACGTCATTCACAGTCCTCTCGTGAGTATTCGTTCCGCCCCTGATCCTGACCTCTGGGGCGGAAGGAGCGAGGACTGTGGAAGGAGGCAGGAGGAGGGAGTACGGAGTCGGGAGATGGACGGAGGAGGATGGGGGAGGCAGGGGAGCGGGTGAATGGAAGGAAGATGCGACTCGACAATTCCGATATTCCGACGATTCGATGCGGCCCGATGCTCACCTGGCGTTTGTTGTGCATCTTGTCGCAGCCGATCCGATCCAACGCCGACCCCCGCGCCGATGCAGCCCGATCCGAGGCGCGCTGCGACTCGACACGATCGTCCGATTGGACGCTGATTTATCTTGTTCCCGCTCCCGGCATCATGGTTTTTGGATCCGAGGTGGATAGGCATCATGTAGAAGGGGGTCAACGCGGGATTGGCTGGAGCGGTACCGGTCCCGCCACAGTTCCCGCTCCGAGGAGGAGGAGGAGGAGGAGGAGCGCCTCTTCTCCTCGCCTCTCCCCCGTTGCTCCCAATACGGTCTGCCTGCCCCGCTCCCTCGCGGGCGCGCCGCGGGCAGGTGGCGCTCACCTACCTCACGTACGAGCTGCTGCGGTGAGGGTGGGCCTTGTCTGGCGCCGGCGCGGGCGGCTCTGCGCCCTGCCGAGGGCTGACACCCACGCAGGGCGGCCGACGACGACGACGAGGGGAGGGGGAGGAGGAGGAGGAGGAGGAGGAGGAGGAGGAGGAGGAGGAGGAGGAGGAGGAGGACGAGGAGGAGGAGGAGGAGGAAGAGGAGGAGGAGGACGAGGAGGAGGAGGAGGAGGGGGAAGACGGGTGCAAACCCAAGACGCATCAACGATGTTGCAGTAAACCCTCCCGCTGAGCTCCCTCTTGATAGGGCCCTACAAATAGATCATCTTATCGCGGGAAATGCCAACTGGATGACAACTGAATGACAATCTTATTTGCAAGAACGCAATTCTTAGGATTTCAGCACCGCGAATCCAGGTGCATGTTGCGTCGTGGCAATCATTCATCTTGCCAGTAGACCATTCCTGAGACTTCGACCCTGCGAATCCTTGACACCGCTTCAAGCTTTTAGAACGAGCTTGCGCGGCGCTACATCGAGAGCCGCAGTCTGAATCAGATCCGTCCTTCACTTGTGAAACCCTTGGGATCTTGTGAGACGAATGCACGCGTCGCTAAGGCGAGAGCAACATTTTGAGAACCACCCGCTCTCCACCCGTGTAGCTGTCGCAAGTTCCAGACTTCAGGGTCGTAAGTGGTGAGGACGTGCCTCAGGCGAAACGCCCGGCCAGCCCTACAGACACGTCTGGGGGCGGGACAGGGAGGGTAAAAGACGGAGGAGGAGAAGCAGGAGGAGGACGAAGGAGGAGGAGGAGGCCGACCAAAGAAGAGGAGGACGACGAACGAGGCAGAGGAGGACGAAGAAGGAGGAGGGGGGAGGAGGGGGAGAAGACAGTCGAGACTTCTCGATCATATAGCGTGTCGTGCCGCCAGTTCGGGCCCGCTGCGCTTCGGCGCGGCACGCTCACCACGACCCACCTCCTCTTCCTCCTCCTCCTCCTCCTCCTCCTCCTCCTCCTCCTCCTCCCCTGCTCCTCCTCCCTACTTCTCCTCCTCCTCCTCCTCCTTCTCCTCCTCCAGCCCCCACGCATTGGCGCCCAGAGCTCTTCCCAGCCCCCCGCCCCGTGCAGCGGAGCGGCACGCGCGCGCCGCTCTTGCAGGGCAGGGCGTGCAGACGGGGGCCGCCGCCGCAAGACGCTCAGCGAGAGCTGCTGACCCTGAGTCTTCAACAGGACTCTCTGTCGGAGTCTCCGCGGACGTTGTTCATTTGAGACAGAAGGCCGCCTGGCCAACAGCGGCCGCTGTCGGTTTTGGACAAGGTCTGTTGTGGGGCATCGTGCCCATGTTCTCCGTACAGTGGGGACGCGCATCAAGAAACCATATGCTTTTCGTCAGGGTATCCCGGGTTTCTTCGCTCTCCGCGCTGCGCGGTGGCTTCCCGCTGCCGTCGAAGGAGCTGCTGCGTTCAGGGTGTTCCAGGTTTCCCTTCAGGTGCACCTCGCGCACGGGTTCTCAGGGTTGGGTTTCTTGCGAGGGTTTCTTACGGCCGCGCCCGCACTGTACTGCGATAGTGGTACCATGAGGCTGGGTGCACATGACGCGGTCGGCCTGAGCTCACGGAGCGCGTTCCACGACTCGCAGAGGGACTCTTCGCAAACGGCCGAAACAACATGTGCTTGCCTCGATGTGATATGTCGTAGATCCCCCGCGGCGTATGCAGGCCATTTGCGAGTAGCTACTGTGCGAGTAGTGGAACGCGCGTGTCTGTGACCGGGAGCGGGATGCACACGTGGTCGCATGCCTTTGCCAGCGCTTGGCCCTGGGCGGCCAGGCGCGGGGATCCCTCACGCGCCTCCAGCAGGTGGCCTCTGCATGCTCCCCAGGCGTGAGTCCAGCCATGCGTGTGTGCGCGTGTGCTCCAGCCGGGGGCCCCTGGACGACGGATCGGGGAAGGGGGGGGGAGGGCTCCGCCGACGACGGACTGGGGAAAGGGGGAGAGGGGGGTGGCGGGGGTCTGGACCTCCCCCCCGTCTGGGGCACCCATCGGCGCGCCCTCCATATTTTCAAATCGATATGAGAACCCAGTTTGTCTGTTCAACGAAGATTTTGCCAGAACGATTGAGTTCCCGCGCGTTCACATTTCCTCATCATCGTCATCGGCACAAGGCTTGTTTGCATCGCCAGCGTCATACATGCCAACGTTATCGCCATCGTCCTCAACACCATTGCCATCGTCGTCGTCATCCCCACCGCTGCCATCAACATCATCATTGCCATCGTCGTTGTCGTCTCCTCCGTCGTCAGCGTCGCCGACATCGTTTTCATAATCAACCGCACTCATTCGCCCGCGGCATGGATCTGCATGGGAGGGGTCGTCGCGTCATTGTGCCATCCGAGTGTTTCAAACGAGATGCGGGTGGGTGCGTGTGATGTATGCGGGAGGTGGCCACGCGCGAATGCCAGCACGGTGGGTCGCACCACCCATCTGCCACCATACTGGAGGCGCCTGATCGATTTTACGACTTGGTTTGCACCGTGTAGATTGCGCCTTGGGGGTTGCACCACATTCGATACACCCGATATACAACACGTGCTGAGAGCAATGTCCCAAAGTATCATTAAATTGTACTTCCCCAAACGAGGTTGTTAACAATCAGGCGAGGCATCTCCTTTCTGATTGTTTTGTCAGAGGGGCACTTTGGGGCCTAAGGGGAGCCACATCTATAGTCCACCGATCCTCTCTGCGACATGGACGTGGCTTTCTCGCTGCGCCTCCGCATGAGAAGAGCGGCAGCAATAAACAATGTAATGCATGATGTGGTCCAAGTGTGTTTTTTCACTGGGCGTGTGGAGCTTGCTTGTGCGATGGAAGAAACGAGGACGGTTGTGTATTCGATTTGGGGCAGCGCGATGGCGCTCCACAGCTGGAGTGGCACCCCCTCTTCTGGCTTCGTGGTTATTCGGATGGAGGCTACATGCGGAGGTTGGCGCTTGGATGCCCGGTGGTGTAGGTAGGAAAAGGCCGGCGTCCAGGCGCCTTGACTCGTGCGCGCCCCTGCGGCTCGCAGCACGAGTCGGCCCCCTGCATGTGCCGCTGCCGCCTGGGGAACAGCCCCGTAAGCGCGCATGCCCGCCCCGATAAACGTCGGGTGTTCTTCCCCCTTCTCGGGATCAGCCTCCACTTTCTAGCTCAGTTGGGCCACCAGTGCCTGGGCCGCCCTGGCGTCACCAGTCTAGCGTTTAACTTGGGGTCATTGTCAGGTGGGCTGATGCTCGGCCGCATCAGGTCCCTCCTTCTAGCGCAGCGCGAGGACACAGTGTAGCCCTTGCATCGGGGTCAGGGCACCGCTCGCGGCTGCTGGAAAAATTGGGGGTTGAACTTCGGAGGGGGCCACCAAGGCTGAGCTGCCTGGAGGAGGCGGCCGAGGGGCCCGCCTCATTTTTCCGAAGCTTCCTTGGCAGCTCGCTTGCGAGCGCCGTGTTGTCCCATGTCCCTCGTGGCGGTTGAGATGCCGGATCGGTGCGAAGATGCCCCGAGGGCTGGGTTTGCAGGACAATCTGTTGCCTTTAGAAAATCAGAGATGCAGTTGTTTTCGTGAGGCTTTGAGTGACTCGTGCTGGAGGCCCGCTGCTCCTGGGACCGCCGTATATGTACACACCCATATACATATAGAGATGTTTATATTCATATGTATATATACACATATATACACATGTATTCATATGGACTCACTTAGCTCACTCCGCAGGCCCATTTTGCATCACTGGTGGTATATGTTTGTGTGCTCGTGGCGAGCGAAAAGGAGGATGAGGACGAGGAGGAGGAAGAGGGGGGATGAGGATGAGGAGGAGGTCTCTGGAAGAGGGAAGGAAGAAGGAAGGGTTGGTGAGACGATAGGAAGCCTCGCGGGGGCCTCTTGGCGGTATTTCTGGCACCTCCTGGGGCATCACGGGGGCCTCTTGCGGGACTTTGGGGGGTTTCTTGGGGCCTCTCGGGAACTTCTTGGGGGCTTCTTGGGGGCGTCTTGGGGCCTCCAGGGGACCTCTGCGCCTAGAGCTCAAAATGTCCGTTCGGGTCCCCTGTCTGGGCCCGCTCTTGGAGCCGTTTTGGCAGCCTCTTCGGCAATCTTTCAGGCCTCTGGGGCTGTCTTGGGGCCCTCTGGGGACGTTTTGGGCGCTCTTGGAGGCCTCTTGGGCAATGTTGGGGCGATCCTGGAAGCCTCTCAGGCCGTCTTGGAGCGCCGGTAAGCCGAAAAGGCGAGAACGCCAAAAGCCTTCCAACACTGCAGGGAAAACAATTAATTTCTGCCTTCTTTGGCCCTCTTGGGAGTTCTCTTGGAGGCCTCTTGGGGCGTCTTGAAGGCGCTGTGGACATATATATGGTCGCCCCCCCCCCAGCGCACCCCAAACCACCCACGACCACAAATCCATCATTGATCGTTTGCTCCTGCTGCTGCTCCTCCTCCTCCTCCTCCTCTTCCTCCTTTCCCTCCTCCTGCTTCTCTGCTTCTTCCTCTGTTTCCTCTCTTTTCTTTCTCCTTCCTCTCTTTTCTTTCTCCTCCTCCTCTCATCCTCCTCCTGCTGCTCCTCCTCCTCCTCCTCCTCCTTATGAGAAGCCTTACAAAAGGGGCTGCTCTCTGAGGAAACCATATGAAAACACAGATATTCCTGATATGTTTGAATGCTTTGGCAAGGGAACCATATGAAAACACAGATATTCCTGATATGTTTGATGGTTTTCGTTAGGAAACCCAGTGAAAACACAGATATTCCTGATATTTGTTAGTTTTCTGGAAAAGGGCGCCCCTCCCCCTGCTCCCTCCCCAGGTCCACGCCCCTCAGGGACAATGCGCCAGGCAGGAACACCTGTGAAAACACAACTATTCCTAATATTTTGAAAGGTTGTCGCACAGAAACCTTGTGAAAACACAGATATTCTTGATATTGTTGATGGTTTTCATAAGGAAACCATATGACAACACAGATATTCCTGATATGTTTGGTGGTTTTCGTTGGGAAACCCTGTGA